GTCTACTGGACAACTGAACCCGTGTCTGTCGTTTTCTGACATGGTCATTAAGCAATCTCCTGGATCGTTAAGCAGAGAGAGCAAAAGAGCTGTCTGCTGAAGGATTTCAGCTCAGTGCAGAGCTGAAATCCTCCCAGCAGGCAGCTGTTTGACAGCGAAATGGTTTCTTCAGGACTTGAGCTCCATTCCTACCCACTGCTGAGTGGGGAGGGGAAACCCCTTGGCAGTGCAAAGGAATGGAATTCCTTCACACCACCAAGGGGTTTCCCCTCCCCCCTATAAACAGAGGGGAAATCCTTGGTAGGGCTAGAGGACCAGAGCTCAAATCTTCAGAATTTGAGCTCTGTTCCTGCACAGTGCCACATCCCCTCCGCTTGCAACCTTCCCTGCTGGCTTCCAATGGGGAAGCTGGCAGAGAAGATTGCAAATAGTGATCACATGATCGTGGAGTACTTAGCAACTGGTCATAAGCGTGAGCCAGTTGCCAAGTGCCCAAAATGCAGCCATGTGACTGTAGGGGTGCGTGCAACGTTTTACGATGGCCATGCTTTACGGGCTGTAGAGCACCCTTTCTGAGCCGATGTAACTTTGAACCATTGTTAAACGAATGATTGTTAAGCAAGGACTACTTGTATGTGTTTTTTTTTTGAAAAAAGTCAAAGAAGAGTTTTAAGCAGTAATGGTTAAAAATTTTGGAACTGTTCTGTTTAGAACACAATTCACCAAGCTCTTTTTATTTTTCCTTTAAAAATGATTATTATTATGAATATTAAGTCTGAAGTTACATTATTTCACTAACTGATATGTGCATGCATGTATGTATACTTTTCTTTTAATTAATTCAGTCCAATACCATTTTTTTAAAAAGTTAGAAAAAAATGAGTTGTACCCAGTACTTGTACAAAGGGAAAGCAATATTTTTCATCAAAGACATACACAGGCTACATATATGCAGTATTTTAAACTTAACTCAACCCACAATTCATTCTAATAATATCTAATTCATCAACTTCCAAACTATAAATTATACAGTAAAGTAATATTGCTTCACTTATATGGAATCAATAAACACTAAGGCTATGCAACTCATTCCGTCAGGCATCTTGCTCGTAAGTGAGCCACTCTTCTGAGTCCATATCTAGAAGCCAGAAAGCAGCTTCATTCTCCCTCCAATGATCCTCCCGTATAAGATAATTACAGCTCCAAATGCTTTAAAATGAAATTAAAGGAACTATTTCTAGCAGTTAACTACAAGCTATTGTTACAATTATTCAAGCAGAAATGGAAAACAACACTCTCAAAATGTGAACATTTCTTTTAAATAGACACGTTCAGCAAATAACATTTTATGGAGAATACCAGCAGTAAACACTGACATCTGTTGGAACATAATTACTGACTCCTTAAAGCTAAAGTGGTTAAAAGGGAACCGTGAAAAAGAATGACCTCTAGTGGCAACTTTGCATACGGGCAGAGCTAAATGTAGCTTTTATTTAAGCAAGTACCAACAAGCTTTCAGATGAAACCCTTAATTTAGTATACAAAATGAAAAACATTAGATGTCGTCATGTGATGCTAGGAATGAGTATGCATAAAATTATTAGGAATAGTGCTCTCTTGTGAACAATCGTAATAACTTTCAAACATAAGATTCAAATGATTAATCATGTGCGTATGGGCATTGGTATGTGTATACGTGTGTGTGTGCATATCGTTTTTATAAAGGAGGTTGGCTAACAGTTAAAAAAAGTAACATCTCTTCCGAATTGAACTTGATTTTTGGTGACACCATGGATATATCTAGGTAGTTCTTTTTGGCTTATGCAATTTATTAAAATAACCTTCTTTTCAAGTATGCTTTACATTCCTAAAGAATGCTTTACATTCTTTGAGCACACTGGGTTAGGAATGTATGTATGTATGTATGTATGCGTACCCAAATATAAAAACAGAACACAACAAAAATAATATAGCAATGTATTTGAGTACCCAAATATAAAAACAGAACGAAAAACACACACAGAATCAGTAATGGAAAGTAATTACATTTGATCATCCTAAGCCAATGAGACTTACATTTTCAATAAGAACTTCTCGTTCATTTTCTACCTCTTCACTCCATGCAGTCATATCATTTAGAGTTTTCTGTGTTACTGTTAGTACCGTTATGTTACTGGAAACGACGTCTGGAAACATTGACTCAAAATCTACAAAAAATAGAGTATCAATGAAATAATTGAAATAATTTTTCCCAATAGCCTAATTCCACACTGTTGTCCCAAGTTGTACAAAAATCCTTAACATTACAGTAACATTATTACTCAGCCTCCAGCAACCACAAGGAAGATACATTTGCTCTGTAAAGGCCTATTCTTTAACTGCTGCACTAAATATTTGCTCATGTAGAAAATTGCTCTAGGATTAAAAAAAAAGGCAAAAGAAAATTAATTTAAAAGAAAGCTAATTCAAATGTACTGAAACCCCAAGAAAACTCACCAAGTTACCATGCTAGTTATAAATGTTACTTAAACTGCAAATCTATGCATGTTTTTCTTCAAGCTACAATTCTATACACTCTCCTTTTTAATAATTAACATTGTGGAAAGATGTGGGGTAAACCCATACCTTTGCGCAACAGTTCTGGGCATGTTTGTATCACACATTCTACTTTTGCAGTTTCAAAATAACTTTTGGCATCGGCAATGTCTTGTTTATTAACAGCATTACTGCTCTGAAAAAACAAAAAGAGGTAACTTTTGAATCTAATACAAACCATTGGTTAGAAAATATCTGATTTATTTTAACATTTTATTTCAGTTCTTGGAATTCTAAGATTCAGCAAAGAGATACATTACTTAACATTATTTAACATTTAGCATGTGAAGTACATTTGAATTCTTGACAAGCTACCAGCCAGTACTGTAACATACCAGCGAGAGTCCATTTGCACATAGTTTCAAAATTCCGAGCTAAGTTTTATGCCTGATTTTTACGTTTCTGTGATTTTGTAATTTTTTTTTTTTTTTTACGGTTAGCTGTTCAGACTTTAAGACTGGAGCAGCATATACATTTTGTGAAGTAAATCAACAAGGTTCAAAGATACAGTTGAAGATACATTTGTTGTTTGGTCTCTTAGTAACTTCAGCAATTCTGTCATTAAAGGACCATTAAGCATTTAAAAAACAAACAAACAAAAAGCAAACCATAAAGGCATTTTTGCTCTTGGTATGAGTGTTTGGTGCGACTGTTTAATACTGATTTTTCAAATTCTATTTCAAAACCTTGTGATGCATTCCCCAGTGAAAAGAAGAATACTGAAAGGGTTCTTTGCCCATCACAACTGAACGTATAATGTGCAGATAAAGGGAGTGCTGATTATTCTAGGATGAACACTGATTTTTGGTAGAATAGCAATGAAAGTCAACAGATTATGCCAGAAATCAAAATGAACTACAGCAAATCTTTTAAACCCTCCCCAGTATATTGAAGCTACTAATGGGCAGATGTTCTTTCAAAGTATGCAGTTGGGAAACAATTGATTATCTATAAGTAAGTATGATATCAACTGAAAAATTAAATGTTCCTCCAACATATCTAAAGATATGGAGAAAACAGAAAAATAATTCCTTTTCTCTTCCCTTCCCTTCGCAAATCCACCTCTCTATGAAATGATTTGTGATGTCACTATAGCCAGTCCTGATTATGCTTTATTTATTTATTTATTTATCAAATTTGTCACTGCCCATCTCATTAAAAAGCGACTCTAGGTGGTTTACAGGGGAGATAAAATCAATTAAAATACAGTACAATATAAAAACAGTCTTAAATAAATAATAAATAAATTCCAAGAAATGATGGAATTGGCAAGTAGCAGAGGGAGCATCATCAGGGCACCAGCCAGCCCCAGGATTGATTAGAGCTCTTATCGCCCCACAAAAGCTAGCAGAGCCAGGTCTTTAGTCCTTTCCGGAAAGCCGAGAGGGTAAGGGTCTGCAGCACCTCTGGAGGGAGAATATTCCCAAGGGTGGGGGCAACAGCAGAGAAGGTTCTCCTCCTGGGCTCCACCAGCTGACATTTTCTCGCTGATAGGGTCTGCAACATGCCCTCTCTGGTATGTGTTGCACTTAATGAGCAAAGCTAGTTGTATATTTCAAGTTTCCTATTTTGGCTAAGATGTAGACGTAGGCCACAATTTTATATAGCAGGAGTAAGCTGGTGGGAACATCTGGAATCCCAAATTGGTGAAGACTGCCTAATTGATTTAAATTTTTGTTTTTTAATCAACCAAGGCAATTATGTATATCCAAAAGAATGGGAAAAGTTTTGGCACTGACAGAATGTATATATCCTAAAACAAGGTCTAACAATCATTTACTCAGATCCCCCCCCTCCCCCAGTAAGTTCTAAAACAACCTCCGGAAATTATTTTCTATCAGAAAAATCCATGCCGAGACCGTTTTTTTACCTAAAAATATATAATTTTTACATTTACTATTAAGTATAATTACTCATGTGGATTTTGGCTTCCTGCCCTCCTCCCCTCCAGTTGGCAACATGATCATCATGGGTTCTGTTGGTTTTTGTGAATAGATAAAATAGTCACTATTCAGAAAACTAGATTATTTTAACCAATGAGACACATTCAGAAACTAAGAAGGCTGAAAGACTTCAAAATAATAAATTGTGATCAAACTAAATCCACAGAAGATAACCTCTTGACTTACATCTGTGCTCTGTGAGGAATGTCTGGCCTAGCAATTGCTATGTGGATGATAAATTAATATGCAAATTGAAGTCTAAGGTAAAGATGCACCTAGGACTTCTTGTGCCATGCACCAATAGAAGTAGAGAACAAATTTCTAGATTTGGGTCTCACCTTCCCAGGATATTTCCACTCTTACCTGCAACTCGTTGACATACTGAGCCATCACAAATTCATGCCTTTCACTTGCCAAGGGTTCCATTAAGATATCAGGCAATTTTTTATGAACGTGTCTTGTCTTCTGAAATGCCGTACCATTTAGATGACAGTCAAAACCTATGTTACCAGGTAGCTGAAATCTTTGGTCCTGGGGACCAAAAGGTCCCATTACTTCATCTGGCCACACAGTTTTTGGACCTGAGAAAAATTAAGTTAGTGTCATTTTAAAGCACACACGTACGCAATTGTTTTCAGCTGTAAAGGACAATTTTGCTTTTTGAATGTTGCTGCTTAGAAGTAGAAGCATATAGTTCAATAGAAACTGAAAAAAGTGTGTCCTATTTATCTCAGTGGAAGTTGGTTCTCAGTAAATGCTTGAAGTTGGGCTATAAGTACCAAAAGACAGAGCTTACTGAAAATATGTATGATGTTTTTCTATAAAGAGATGTTTTTTTAAAGTTCATTAAGGTGAGAAAATTGGAATTTTCCTTACATATGTCAGGAGGTGCTGCAGCAACAGAAGGCTCATCTGAGCCAGATGATCCTGCTGTGGAAAAAGCCTTGGGAGTTACAACCCTTCTAACCAAAGAATAAAATCCTGGCAGGTATGTCACCAGTCTAGCTCTGTTACAAAGTACCTAAAGGGGACACAAAGAAAATTGAAGGCAGCACAGGTTGCATATGAAAACAATGACTTAGATCATAGAGTCTTGTTCCACAACAGCTGGTGCAGATATGGAACATATGATAGTGAGGCCTTGATTGAATGGCCCCCCATGGGATTACAGAGGCAGTGGAGCAAGTTTCCTCCTGGCTATTCCACTGAAGTAACAGACAAGTCCACCGTAGTACTCTGGATGAGGGACATCATGACACATATGCTGGAAATGAGTGCCATGACGGACTTCTCAGACTTAACAGACTTTTGGGAAGAAGGGACACCTCTTCCCTCCAAAGGATCCATTACAACAAGGATTCCCATCCTTGAATTTTGCTTGTCAGTTTCCTATATTAGCAGTTTTTAAAAATACTTTGAAATGTGTGAAAAAAAAATCAAAATTTTAGATGGAGTTTTGCACAAGATTTATCATACAGTACCATATCTAAATAAACAGTATATACTAAGATTACATTAAAACACATACAGATAGTCCTCATTTAGCAACCACAATTGGGACCACCAGCTCAGTCGTTAAGCAAAATGGTCACAAGGTGAAACTGCAACTGTGCTTATGATCTTACTTCAGCTTTCCCTTGCTTTGCAGACCTGCGAAGGTCATAAATGCAAGGATTGGTCACAAAGTTACTTTTTCATCACTGTTGTAACTGTAAACAGTCACAGGCAGTCACAGACTGTATGAGGCAGTCACTAAATGAGGACTATCTGTACATGAAAAATGATGGAATATCTACAAAGGATATTAAAAGATAAAATAATATATATGTATGCCAGTTCTTCCTCTGGCAAAGCTATTACATAGGATAGGTGACAAGTTAGTTAAACCAGTTTATCTGGAGATAGCACATTTCTTATTACAAAGTTGGCAGGCCAGTTTAAGATAAGCTGAACATAGTGTTTCACCATTCTTTAACTGGCAGGAAATTTAACCCAGCCCCCTGCATTCCTTTATCAACCATACTCCTAGACTCAAAAGTCTGATAAGAACAAGGCCAGAAAATTATTAGAACACAAACTAATAAAAACATGGCTTGTTTTTCTTCTTTAATCTGAACATGGCCTGAATCAATAGGGCTCAGATATCTGGTACCATCTCAGTGTAGGTTACTGTACAGCCTAATAATGACAAATGCCAACATAATAGCCACTGTACTAATGATCATTTGGCTGACAACCTACTAAAATTCTGATCTTACTATTTCCCCCATCTTTATACATTTGCCAATGGAACTTTAGTCAAGTTTATTTTTTAATTAAAACTTGTGGGTGGAAGATTGCAACACAAGCTATGTTCCTGGTTGCCACATAAAGTATTGTAGGGGTTTCTAGATCAAGGACAAAAAAGGCTATAGTAACACATGAATCACTTCTTCCCATCATCTACAGTGGGCTGCTATATTGAAACAAAGAACTGCAATTATTTGTAGATGCATCATGAAAACATACACAGTATTAACTATTTTAACATTATTAAAAATATATGAATTATGCATTGGTTTCTCATTATACTTGAGAGATCTGAACCAAAAACATTGTGTAATATTTTTATAATAGGGTTAAACATACTAGTTCCAATACTATATATATATAATCACTTTGCATTGTGTCTTTTTCCTTGTTACTGATCTCACAACAGAAAATTAAAAAAACAACAACACCCTTACATACAGGTATATTTATTTGACTGGTATCATAAAAATTAGCTGCATTACTTACACTGGCCATTTCCATGGTTTTCTTTGTTTAAAGAAACTCTGAAACAGAGACATACAGAAGAGTGGATCTGAAACACAATTTAGTAATCATGGCACAGTATTATGTAATATATTAAAAATAAATTCTTCAGTTGATAAATGATTAAATCTGAACAGCATTCATCAGAATGCAGTCCACTTTACAGCCATTTTAATAGAGAAGCATGCACACAAGATTTCATTTGGATCTAATGGGGCAGGATATGACTCCTAATATCCAGGTTCTTTATGAGTTGTGAAAAAAAAGAGCATTCCAACTCATAGAAGACTGAACATGAATTATGAAAATAGAAGCCACTTGTTTTAAAGTTCATTATATGCTTTATTAGAGATATATCCATAGGACTTACTTGGCTAGAACACTGCTTTTATACACACATACACACACACACACACACACAAACACACTCAATTCAACAAGTTCAGGAATGAACTTGTGATTGTGAGATATTACATCATTCCCTTGAAAGTCTTACAAATAGGAACATGGTTCCCTTTTATTCTTCTTTTTCAACATTAGCACACTAAATATTCTGACAACAGGTTTCAACCTTTATATGGCCAAACAAAATATTTTAAGTTGGTGAATTGTGAGTGATGTGCATAATTACTGAGAAAGAAGTCATCCAGGCTAATCAAATGGGGTTCCTTAGTTAAAGAATCCAGATACAACACTTCGTATCTTCTATCTTCTTTTCAAATCATTTTTGTTCATCTATATTCAGCCTTCTCTGCCTTTTTCCCTCTTACTATGGCCTTCCCCAGTCTGAGGCCTTCCGCATGTACCTGATAAGAGCTCCAATCAATCCCAGCTTGTAGGGCACCAGATTAAAGAAAGTAGTCAAAAAAGAAAGTTAATAATTCCAAGTGCTGTCTAAGGCAGACTAAATGGTCCACAATGCTAAATATATTTAGAACCAGATAAGCATCCGCTGCTCCCTTTAACAATTTTGTTGCATTCACAATCAGGTATATGTGTCTCTTTTGGACACAGTATGCCTAGATCTAGCTCTCCGGAGAAGGTTCTAATGCTGGGAAAGTCGGAAGGAAAGAGAAGAGGATGACCAGCAGCAGCGTGGATGGTCCCCATTACAGTGGCAATGAATGCATTGGTTGGAAGGTCAGAAGGACCAGGTTAGGGAGAGATGACCTCCAGAAAATCTATCTGTGTGGCTGCTAAGAGTTGACACCAACCTGATGTCACATAATCAGTCCATCAATGTGTGCTTGTATCTAATGGAGTGGACCAAACAGGCATTCATACAGCTAGTGTCTTTGACATCTTTGTGAAACACAGCCAGGATCAGGCAGACAGACATAAACGGGAGGGGTGTGTGCATGAGCCCACCTAATTGCTGAGGACATTGCTAAGGAATTCCCAGGGACGGCGCCAGACTTCCCATCTCCGTTAGGATTTGTAAAACGGCGGCCCTTCTTGGAGACTGAAACTGGCGCAAAGTCCCATGCTGCTGCGGAGGCGGCGGCGCCGGCCCCGGCCCTTTGAAGGGCTGCGCGGAGAGCCGCGTCCCGTCCTTCCGCACAAGCTCT